AAATCTAAGTACACTGTGTCTACTGGATCCCCCTTGTCCACATGTTTGTTTGACCCCCTCAAAGAACTCTAGTAAGACATGATCTCCCTTTGCAGAAACCATGTCGACTTTTGCGCAACAATTTATGTTCCTCTATGTGTCTGACCTTGGACAGTGGGAGCTGCGATCAGCTGAACCTGAGGACGGTGCAGGTAAACAAACCGTGGCGGCTCACCAGCGGATTTCCCTGATTGGGGCATGTGCCAAAGGTTGCCAATCTCTGATATAGAACATGCTATGTTTTTAATCTAAGCAGAGCTAAATGCTCAAGAGAAATTTGATTTGGATCAGTGTATTATGCGGATGACTATAATAGACACTGAAAAACATAAATATACTCATTCAAACCGGACTCTTCAGTTGCAAGGTTTTTACACAGATGCTTAGTTAAAAAACAGTAACAGGTATGATAATTTTGTTCTGAGCTGTGTCTCAATATGCAGTAGCGAGCTTCATTTGGAATGTTGTGATGCCCATTAACTTAAAAAGAAAGAAACAGGGACTCATTTATTATAGCTGTTAAGAGATCAATCTTCAATCTGCTGGAATTTTGAGGAGAAGATTAAATCCATTTTACATATATTTTAGTATTGTGACCAGGTGGGACTTTATGTTGCACATATGCTCCTCTTTCCTTTACCAACATTTTGTCCTTTGTTCTTGGCCCCCAACTGATGCTTATGGCCCTGCACAGAGGATTCTTTAGCCTGGCTTCTATGATTTTAAGACATTTGACACTTTTCTTCTGGAAATCTGTTGACTTTTCTTTCTACGGATGTTTTGCTTTCCTCCTTCATGTCTGCACTGAAATGTAAGACGTTCCTGGTTTTAGCAAATGACTGGTCTATTGAAATGGACAGATGTTGAACACTATTTATTCCTAGGCTTAAATGCCCTGGATAATATTTTATAGCAGGCATAGGAATTTTGTTTATACTTTTATTCTGTCCTTGAACTGATTTTTTCCTATTTGTTTAGAATTTAAACATTTCTATGTATAATCTTGGGTACACTATATTGTGTGATAATGAATAGCTTTATTTTATGATTATGCTGTTGTTTTCTGTTTCTTTTATCTTCTTTGTTTACACTAGTACATATATATTTAATCCTTTTACAACCCCTGGGCTGGACCTCGTCTGTGGCCATATGATAAAGCTGTTTGGGAAGAAGGCTAACGCCAGCTTGTTGGACATCATAAACAAATTGTGGATAAAAGAGAAGGTACCTAATCAGTGGAATTTAGCCGTTCCTCTTCTTTAGTTGTTCCTCTTCTTAAGACTGACAAGGATCTCTCTTCTCTGGACAGCTATCAATCTATATCTTTAACCAGTTACCATTGTAAAATAATGAAAAGAATGGTACAATCAAGGCTTCTGTGGTGGCTTTTAGAAGAAGGGAAAATAAAATCTACCCAAATGGCATACAGGCCCTTGCACTTAATTACAGGCCTATTGGTGGCCTTCTGTCAGACTATTATTGATGGATTCCTACAAAAGCCACCATAGTCTTTTTGAATCTCAGTGCAGCATTTCATAGAGTTTGGCATGATAAGCTCTCAGTTAAACTCAGTGAGATGAGAATGTGGTAAAATGTACCTTTGAATAAGAGAGTTCATATAGTTGGGGAAAATAATAGACTAAATCTTCCTTTTTCAAAGACAAGGCCACTCAGGGAGGCATTCCACAGGACTCAATTTAAAGTCTCTTATTTTTGTGCTGTCCTCCTCTGAATAGTCATGCCACTTGAAATCATCTGTATACATGTATGCAGATGACATTGTGCTTCGTATCACTTGTTGTCAAATAGAGGTATTGAAAAATGAACTGAATGAAGACTTAGAAATTGTAACTAGATGGGCAAAGGAACATACATTTCAGCTGAATCCAGCAAAAACAAAGTCAAACTACTTTACCACAAATCATAGGAGATATAAGTACAGTTTGAAACTGACATTGGATGGAGAATGTATTGCCATTGAGAAGAATCCAGTATACCTTGGAGTGACCTTGGATACAGAACTAAGGTTTGGACCACAAGTCAGAAAAATGACAGCCAAAGCAAAGAAGAGATTACATCTTCTGTGATGTATTGCTAGTACCAATTGGGGTTCATGTGTTAGAATGTGAACATACTGCTTGATACTTCGTGCAATACTTGTAGATGCCTTACCTCTATGGTCACATAAGGCTCCCAGTAATCTTGCTAAGAAAGATGTTGTGCAAGGTCTGTAGTTCACAATATAACTGGAGCTGTAAGATCCACTCCAAAAGCAATTTGTGAACAAGAGTCTGATGTTCAACCTCTTGAGAATCCTAGAAAAGTTAATTTGATATGGAAATTATCTTCCTTCCCTACCTGAATATCATCACTGTTCAGGATCTGCTCAGAAACTGGAAAACAAAATCAAGGCTGCAATGATCATCTTGTTCTGAAAGATGTGTAAAGGCTACTGAAGAAAAAAGAAGCACTTGATGATATTTGGAAGGTAAAGTATGTGAAGAAGTTTGTATACCAGTAATTTTTTCACATGAACCTTTAGTAAAAGAGCTTTTAAAAAAGTAAATGTCTTTCCCTTTGGAATCTTGTTCAAAGGAACACAGATTGCCAACTAAAGGAAAATTGTAGAAAAGACCCTTCAACAGTATAAGTCACAAGGCAAACTCATTCATATGTACACTGATGGTTCATCAGACGTATCTTTCAAGAATGGTGGTGTCTTCACCTAGCAGTTTAATGGAGAAAATACAAGAAAATGCACTAGTTCAGGATCTATCTGCTCAAACTATACGACTGAACTGAAAGCTATTCGCACTGCACTGCAAGAAATAAACAGAGTGGAAATAGAGGTGGATGTCGTAATAACTGTTGAGTTGCAGGTGGTGGTCCTTGGTTACTTTAGAAGAAACCAGACTGCTTTCAACAATGCAATTCAAAAAGAGACTTGGAGGATCAGAAAGCAAGGCAATAAATTGACTTTTCAACAGCTTCCATCATATGCTGATGTACACGAGAGTGTTGTAGCTGATGACCTGGCAAAAATTAGAAGATTGGAAACTCAAGTTGGAATGACAACATCAATGATACTGTCACCCTACCAAGGAAAATGTTAGCTGACATCCATTATTCTGAGAGTGTGAACAGGGCACACTGCAAGAATGAAAGTCAATAGAAATGGGACCAAGTTATGTGCACTCTGCAAGATGTGTGTGGAACATGTTTTAACACCTGCTCATACTTTTGAATGTAACATTGTAAGAAAAGGGAAGCTTTTTGGATTGGAGAGCTTGGATCAAGCCCTTACAAAGGACTCTGTACAAGTTGCAAGATTCATTCTTGAACTTCATGGCCTGATATGATTAATGTGGAACAACATAGCAACACCACCACACTTACAATGCCCCCCCTCACCTAATGTTCTTAAGAGAACATTAAGGATGCATGCACAACCTGGACGTTGCTTATGCAACTCAGATCATAGAATATCAGGGTTGGAAGGGACATCAGGAGGTCATCTAGTCCAACCCCCTGCTCAAAGCAGGACCAATCCCCAATATTTGCCCCAGATCCCTAAATGGCCCCCTCAAGGATTGAACTCACAACCCTGGGTTTAGCAGGCCAATGCTCAAACCACTGAGCTATCCCTCCCACTATGCCTTATTTTACTTAGTAACCCACCCTGGGTTGTCAATGAGAATACATAATTTGCAACGGAGGCAAAGTCTGCTGTGTTAAATATTTCCACACCCCTCACAACCTCACCTTAACTGTATAATAGTGGACAGGTCCTGTTTTGTGCATGCTGAACAGGTATCTTATAAGCGAATTTTCAGCTCAGCCACTATTCACGCATAATGTTCATAAAAAGTGCTAAGAATCACTTCCTAATTACTGTCTATCTGAGAAATTCAATTTTCAATCTTTAAAATAGCTCAACCAAATCTGAACTGATTTTCACTACAATACCCAAAGAGTCTTCTTCTCAGTTAGGATTTTCTCCCAGCCATTTTCAACCTTTTCTACCTTGCCATTTTTACTCAAGAGCTGTTCAATAAAAGGTCACAAAGTAGCCTCGTAATGTGCAAAAAATATTTATTCATATCCTTTCCATTTTAAAAATGGCTGAATTTCTCCACCTGGGCAGAGACCATGACTGAAAAATGACAGCACAAAAATGCAACTTTTAATATATTAATGAATGAAAGACAGGGTCTTAGAATGGAACTGCTCTAGCAACCTTAACTCTGTGCTGTTACTGTGTCCTAGCTCTAATAAACACTTAAGACCATTTAAATGTCCCAAATTAAGAACATCAGAAAAATATTAATTTATAAACTCTTTAAAAATCAGCAGAATAAAGGTGTATAGTAAAATATTTAAAATATTGTTCTGTCCTTCAAATTACTTCAATCGCCACATAAATGTTAGGAATTATTATTAATAATGATAATAATAAAGGCATCTTTGTTACATTTTATGTTAATGTTGTTTAAAGAGTTTATTTAAATGTCCTATTGTTAATGACCTGTTGTATCTTGATGCTAAGCTGAATATTTCTGTAGTTAAACCACTGAAGTCCTAATTACTGATTTGACATCTCAATATAGACACATTTTTGATGGAAAAGATCACTTCCTTTGAGTGCAGGATTGATCTCCACTGTGTATTCTTCCTTGCATTGCCCAGTCTATATAACCTCCTTATAGTGTGTATGATAACACCCATTGTTTCATGTTCTCTCTCTGTGTGCGTTTGTGTGTATATAATCTTCCTACTGTATTTTTCCACTCCATGCATCCGATGAAGTGGGTTTTAGCCCACGAAAGCTCAAATAAATTTGTTAGTCTCTAAGGTGCCACAAGTACTCCTGTTCTTTCTGCGGATACAAACTAATACATCTGCTATTCTGAAACCAGTCTATTTTTACATGTGGAAAACAACGGGGTTTCCACCATTTCCTGTTCCTTAGATTTCATTGCCAGAAAGCTTTCTCTGATATCCAGCTTTAATGACCCCTTTCTTAACTTTATTACTCTACTCCTTGTTACACACTTATTACATATATTTTACTAGCAATCACTTGTTGACTACATTAGTAAAATGATATTTTTTTTAAAGGGGATGCTGAGCTTAAATCGTTAGAGGCTTACAGACACTTTTATTAAGATGTTGAAGTAAAAAGAAAACGGTACAGAGTTTAAGCATAGACGCTTCTGGTTATCAGGGAATAAGGTACAGATTATCAAGGGGTGTGAAGTTTGGTTTAGGAACAGGTGGCGTAAGGAATACATAATCTGCAATCTCCCCGATTGAGGGTAAAAGGTTAATGGGTCAAAGTACAGACATTGAGATAGGGGGGTCTGTTGTTCATATAATGGCTATGTTCAGGTGTGGAGTATAACCAGTGGGTAGGATGATGAGGATGGATTTACCCTCATTTGGTGGGATTTAATGTTCAGTGAGTTTATGGTTCCAGTTCATATGGTCCAACGGAAAAAGTCTCTCTGTCCCTTTCTCGTAGTCGATGCACGATGTCGGACCGGCTCACACCTCCTGGTACTGTCGGTGGCTGGGGATGTGTTCGATGTAGATGTCCCTGGACCATCGGATGGCGTCCGAGACCATAAGGCGCCCCATTGAGCCTTGCCTAGTGCTACACTATTTCACCCTCTCAGGAGCTCGGCAACCTTTCCGCACATGGAACTTACACCCCGCCCCCCAACTCAGCGTCTCTTGCTACCACAGCTACTGGTGGAGCAAACCAAAGAGAGGGGGGTTCCAGACGCAGTATTAGCTCGGAGAATCAATTCCGAAGCAACGCTGGATCGGAGCTTCACGCCGGGGAGGCTTTGGAGTTTGGGTGCAAGGAACGTGCCCCTTTTACCGCCACCAGCACTGGCCCGCTCCCTCCCTTGGAGCCCAGGGCTCTGCAGTAGCCTCCCCTCTCGGAGAGGTTCGTGCCACGCCCTCTCTCCGCGCCTGGCTATGGAAGGCTCACTCGCTGTGCAGCGTGGGGGGGAGATAAGAAAGGGTGAGAAGGGAAGGGGAGAGGTGGGTTTTCCTGGAGCGGGAGGGAAAAGCGTAAAAGAAGCATTTGCTCCCCAGGGCAAACACAGCCGCCTGAGGTACCGCTGCTGCTGCATGAGCCGGGGGGGAGATGCCCTGCTGCTGCTCCTGCCGATGGCTGCTGCTGGCGTCTCTGCTGTGGGCGGCAGGGGAGTGCCAGCTTCGAGGTGAGAGCCCGGCAACCCCCAGCCTGGGAGATCAGAGCGCAGACCGGGGGGGCGCTTGGCGGAAGCCGCTGAAGGGAACTTGTTGCACGCGGGGGCTGTTTGCGCTGGCTTTGGCCGGGCCACGCTTCCGCGGTGGCTGCGCCGCTGGCTTTCTGGGGGACGGGACGGGCTCGGAATTGCTTTCTTGAATACTGTGCTGCAGCTCTGCTTCCAATATCCCGAAAATCGGGAGCTACCCCGGCCCCTAGGAGGGTTGGCCTCGGTTGGGGACGGAGCAATAAGGCTCCCCGCCAGGGTTTAGCGTGATCGGCTCCGGACTAAAATGCAACTTGCCCTTGTCTACACCCGCATCGTGAAATGTATCAGACTCGCACTTCGGAGCACACGGTGTTTGGCCTCGCCTAGAGTCCGACAGACCCGAAATGAGGGGCCTGAAGAAGAGCATGGTTCAGTGTCTCTTGTTTTCTCCTTCAGTCCTTGATCTCTCTCCCTCCCCATTCCCGTGAGCTTTGTCCTCTTCGCCCTTTTTTCCCATCGCCCCATCTCTCCCCAGCCTCTGTAAATCACAACCCCCGCCCCGGTAGCTCTTTTATCTCCTCATCTGCTGGCACTGGGGGTGGGGGCTGCCCAGCTTCGCTGCTGCCGTGGCAAAGGGGCCGCCCCGCGGCTTTGCAGCACCAAGGGGCTCTTTGAAGTGAGGCGCGATCCGAGGGCAAGGCGCCCTCGCTCCCTCCCCCGCCGCCGGGGCGACTCGCCCCCTCTCGGGACGGGCCATCGCGGGTTCCTGGAGCACTTTTTAAACTTCTGTTGGAAAGCCCGGCTGCTGCCCCATCCCCCTCGGAGCAGTGACACGCGGGCTGGGCGCTGGGAATGAATGGGGCGCACACTCTCTCCGCAAAGCCCGCTTTGCATTGTCTCCTAGGAGAGGCAGCCAGCCAGAACCAGGCTCCTCTCTCTCCCTGCCCCCCACTCGCCACTCGGCTGCTTGGGGCTCCGGGGGCTATTGTGAGCCTGCCTAGCCCCTGGGGCCCGCCTTTTCCCCTCCTCCCTCTCCGCCGGCTGGAAAGGGGACGGGGCAGCCGGCTCTGGGCTGCCAGTGAATCAGCCCGTGTCCCCTGGAAAGGATGGCCTTTAGCAAAGTCAGAGGCTCGGCTAGGCATTGCTATTGCCGAGGGGAAGCGTTTAGGGGACCAAGCCGGTATACCAGGGTGGCTTTGCGATTATTAATTTATCTTTACCTTTATAAGGAGCCTATCGTGGTATCTGGGAAACTACACACCCTTTAGATGAGGACACAAATACTTATGTGCCGCTGCTGTTGACTGGGTGGGTGCAGAGATTAACCACAGTGCTTTACTCCCCCGGGGTCTGAATTCCTTATCATTTTAGGCGTAATATTTGCCACTCCTATAATCCCCCTCCCCCCTTGAGCATCACTGCAGTCGATGTTTGACAGATAAGACGCGGTCCCTGCCCCCAGGTACTCTTAGTTGGAGGAAGAGGGTCCGGCACAAAGATTTCCTCACTTTTCCTGGTGTAAATCAGAAGTAGCTAACTCCATGTATAAGTGGAGCTGAGCGCATAAGAGGAGGTCAAATATTAGCTGGCAGTGAAATAAGCTAGTGCTGGTCAATTTCAAAAATGGCTTTTGCAATGATTCTTTAAAAAGCATTTTAATAGTGAATAACTCTGCCCAGAGTTGTAGTAGGTATGGTTGCTTGTGGCATCTCCTTCTGTTACTTTTGAAGTGTTGCTTGGCAGGTCATGCCCAGAGGCTGCTGCCTGGTCTAGGTCCCATCCCAGAGGGAAGTAAGACCTATAGACTGTTTACTTGCTTTGCCCTTCCCAAGAGTTGCAGCCTGTTTACTGCTTTGCCCAGCCCAGGGGGCCAATTCCCCAGGAGGTTGCAGGGCTCTAGACTATTTGCTTGCTTTGCCCTTCCCTGTTAGTGGTTGGAATCACTGCCTTTATGAAGGATGCATGCTGCTTTAGATCAATATTAAAGACTTTTTTTTAACATCTGGAGATCAATCTAGTCCCCAGTCCCAGTTTCCATCTCTTGATTAGACACTGGGGACCTGAATAGGAGAAAACTTAGCTGGAATGGTCTCTGTATCTCTACCGTGTCCCCTCATTGAGGAAAGTGACCAAAGGATCTTCCTATTCCTGATTCTCTTACCATGCCCTCACCTCAGCCCAGCCTTTGGCCTACCCCAAACTCATTTTGCCTTTTGTTGAGCTGGGAGAACATGGATCCCTCTCCATGATCTGTATTAGTTTTAACCTCCACACCCACCATCCCCTTTACACATCAGAACTGCACTGGTTTTGCTGGCAGGGATCCTACAAATTCATGGTGGAAAGGGCTGTTGTTCCCTAGTGACTAATGTTAAATGCTTTGGTAGTCCATGGGAGCAGGGTTTATTTACATAAACTAGACAATTGCTATATGAAGAATGAGGACTGAAGTCTTTTACACATGTAAATTGGAGTAATTATTCAGCATTATACTCTTAAACTTACTGGAGTCATCTGTTAGAAGTCTTTGTTTTTCTAATAACTTTCTCATACTCTTTCTTTAGGTCTAAGCTCACCAGTGAAGATTTTTTTCCCCTTTAGAAAGTTAGAGAGAAAGTTACAGAACCACTATTATTTCTCGAGTTCTGGGGACTGTTTTGCAATGGTGTTAGTTATGGACCAGAAACTCTCATCTGGGGCTTGATCCAGCTCCCAGTGAAGTGAGCAGCAAAACTCTGATTGATTTTAGTGGTCATAATTAAGTCTCTACTGAAGAAATTAATTAGAAATGCTGGCTACATGCTGGATATATGTAGGACTTAATTTTCCTAAATGAAATCAGTAAGCTGAAGTATGGCATTCAAGATAGACATATGTTGGCATCTGGAAGTTTACACATTGCAGATGTGTTTATTACCATGATTGTACATTCAAAACTTCTGTTGCCTGAGTAAGGCATGCAGGATTGAGCCCAAATATATGTTGTCAAATTCTGAATCCATGTATATGTGAGAGCATTGAGTAAATTTACCTGTACTTCTTTAGATGACCAGTCTATTTAAAAACAAACAAACCAGTACAAGGCAAGGCAAAATCTATAGCTATGTTATGGACATTTAGGTAGAATATATAAGTGCAATTCATCAGGACATTTAAAATGTCAAAGTCTTTCAGTATTAACTGCCATTTAAAGTATATTAGCATATAGTTTTAACAGCATAAACAGTAATAAAAAATATTACACTTTTACAAGAGGGCAAGTAACTGTGAACGTGGAAACCCTAAGTTTCACACACACAAATTCTCAAGGGTCAGATTGCAAAAATTTCTGTAAATTAATGCAACGGGTATATTATTAATATTTCAAATAATGTTTTACACAGTAATCTGAAGACTTGCTGATGAAATGTATCTTGACTTTATGTTGGAGATTACACATTCCATCAAATTTGATTGTAGCTAAACCTCATCTTGTCAGTTTTATTTAGTGGTTACTGTAACCACTTCTTTCTTTCGCTTGGTTGTTTCTGTGTTTCTTTTTCAAAGATTGGGTCAGAAAATCATTCTTTCCATTAGCTTACAGATTTCTTTGCATGTTGATGTGGATGATACCATTAAAGTGGTGAATATCAGAACCCATCTGGTGGATAATGGTCTTACAAAAGTTTAACATTCCATTATTTATCTCATGATACTAATCCAAAAAAATGCAAGGAATGTTATGGCAATACAAATGATTGTATTACTTTTGGAGAAAGTAAAAACAGCTGAAGTTCAGAATATCTGTACTTTTTAATATCAAGGGAATCTTAAAACCTGGTTTGTTGCACTGCTGGAAAGGTTTGAAAGACTAGACCACAGTTGGTGCTGAGATCACAAAACAAAAATTAGCTTAGAATGCCCATGAAAATACCATTGATAAAATTATCTCTTCAGCATTTCCTGCTTTTCAGTACATGTCTGCATATTTCCTGACAGCAAATCAGGAAACTATAGAATACAATAGTTGTGTTGGTTTGTCAGAAGATTCTATTGTCTCCTGTGTAAAAAAGAAACACAGCATGGTAAAGAAAATTCTGTGGTATAGTCTTTCAATCAGTAATCTAAACACTGTTATGTGTAAATTTGAAAGGTTTCTTCCATATAAGATGTATATTTTACATACACATTAAATTTATTAGGTATTTTGGTAGCATATCTATCCTAATTTTTCCTCTTGGTTATTGAATGGCAAACACTGATTATAGAGACAAGGTGGGTGAGGTAATATCTTTTATTAGACCAGCTGCTGTTGGTGAGAGAGATAAGGTTTCAAGCTCTTACCAACAGAAGTTGGTCCAATATAGTATGTTACCTCACCCACCTTGTCTCTCTAATATCCTGGGATCAACATTGCTACAACAACACTGCATACAAACATTGTTTAGGTAATTAATGGACCTAATTCTTTTTATTGAATTGGATTTCCCACTACTTGTCAAACTGTTGTAGTGTTACTTCTGTAGATTCAACACCCAATCTCTCAATAAAGAAAGCAGCTTTTTTATAGGCAGGTAGCAGTGGTGACTTCCAATGTGATTACATTGTAGATTGCAGCTTTATTCAGCTGCATGTCAGTGGGTCATTCAGCTGCTGTCCATGGACCTGGGAATTTGGAATCAGTAATTTAGGCCTTTTCTCCATTCACAATCATCTGTGCCAAATGAGGGAAGTCTCTGAATGCTATCTAGCACACACGTATAGGCACATACTCTTCCTTGTGCATAACTACATGCTAGTC